ACTGATACATAAACGGTCATGTCTGAAACATAGTCGTGGATGGGAACCAGTTCACTGGTCAAAGCCACAGCCGGTGGACTAGCTAGAGTGAAATCAGAGCCGCATCTATTACTGTGGGGAACCTTGCGCATGAAAAATATCTGTATTTATGCAGCAGAATGGAGACTTCCTTATGATATCTCTTGCCTCATCAGCTACTTGGAGCCCGGCTTGTATAACTGGGAAGCTCCTCTGTGTAGCTGTTTTGCACAGTTAAGATGAGTTTCTCATCTGTGACATTTGCACAAACTGCAACAAAATGACCCTTTGTGGTTACATTTAGATGACTGTGGTCATACCCACAGCCTGGTTCATGTGCTGTCTGTCAGACTGACTGACCGCAGAGCAATCATGTTCTTCTTTGAAACAGTCCCTCCCGGGTGCAATCCTTTGATCTCTGACACGGAGGAGATGCCGTATGCCCAGAGCTCATGCTCTGCCAAATGGTAACAACCATCCTGTGATGTATCTCTATAAATGTGTTCTGTAACTCAAATAGCTGTCACTTCTCCCAGCATCCCTGTGCCTGATTTTACTGGTGTAAAAAAAAAAAAAAAAAAAAATAGGGAGGGCACACAGACGCAAGTAAAATATTTAAGAAAAGCTTCAATGAGCGCATTAAATTCGTAGAGCATTAAAATTCTGCACGTATGACATGAGCATGTCAGTCGTGCGGTAAAACGGGTTGAAATGACGACTGAGGAACTGGGAGTCAGAATTGTAAATGGAACCAGGAATTCGTGCCTCAGAAAAAAAAATAATAAGACCGCAGTGACAGCGCCGTTGATAAAAGTCGGAAATGGTGCGGTGCGCATCTGTCATGCTGCAGCACATTCTTCACCGTAGGCTACAGCTCATAGCATACAGAGAGTATCACTGGTGCCTGAGAATGCCACAGGTCTATGGGTGAAACACAAATATTAACACTACTGCCGAGCCTTGAAGAGAAAAGCATGGCGGGAAACAGACAGGAATTTCTGAGAAGAGGGAAATATTTTGTGCAAACTTTTATAAAATTGTAATCCAATACACATCCAAAGGGTTTTGTATGTGTAACGAAACAGATTAACAGTTTTACGTTGTAATTAATGTAATCAGCCACTTGGGGGCAGTACTAACAGGAAATTCCTAATGATGAAAAGAAATTATTGCATCATTGAACGTTTCCTGCACACAATCACAATAAACTGATATTAAACATGCATGAAATGTGGAAGGGAAACATTTCCTTTGTTTTGTTCAGTAATTTCATAACTATTCTGAAACGTACGAGCATAAGTATTACAGGTACAAAGATTGTATCGCCAACTATCGGTATCAGTCAAATCAACAATCTGGCCATCGGCTGACGGTTAAAAATGGGCCGATATTTACCGCCGATAAAACCCTTTAAAACCCTTTTGCTTGGCATACCTGCTTACTAAAAATTTAGGAATATGTCTGCTGTGTGGAATTATTTTAATGTTAGATGGAAAAACCGTTAGAAATGCATTTTGCAAACATTGCTCTGATAAAATTTCAGGAGAAGAATCTACTAATAAACATTTCAACACCACAAATTTGATAGTTCACCTTAAGTCGAGACAGTGAAGAGTATGAAGAGTTTCTGAAAAAACAAATTCGTTCCAATAAAGAAGGGTGCAGTACCGCCAAATAACGTTAGTCCGTCTGTAACGGAATCACACCTGATTCTCAGCCCTTCTATGTTATAAGTAGCCTATGTAAGATGTTTACAAGGCTCTCAAGTTTCATCAAAAGTTTGGAGTGAGATTACATTAGGGGCAGAAATTGTGTGTCACGGTCAATGTGTGAGGCTTGAGAACCGTGTGTAGTTATAAAATATAGTGCTCTGGGACTGTTGTTGTATGCCAGAGATGTTGTTACCAAAAATAAATACCTTTTCATATTTTTTTAAATATTTTTTAAATTATTTGGGTGGAGTGTCCCTTTAAACCTATTTAAGCAGAACCTCACAAATAATGGTTTCGGTGCCAGTGATCGGCCATCGGCATCAGCCAAAAATAAAGATAAAAATATCTGGGCAAACACCGAAATTGACTCGTTTTAAAAAATAATGAGAGCAGCCATATGAATTGAAATGGCGGGTTTGAAGGACTCCAATCTGCAAAACTTCGAATTTAGTATGGCGTGGCTGTATAGGTCCAAAGACAATGTAGCAGACTTGTACTCATATACCTGCAGCGGCGTAACTGGGCGAAAACTGTTCCGGCTTAAAATCAACATACAGTATTCATTCACCATTTGACTGCATTCAAACAAAAGAGCCGGCCGGCACTCACAGACCTGCTTAGCGAAGCGCTACCCCCCTCTGCCGGTGAGGTCAGGTCACTACAGCCAATTACCGAGTGGGAAAGGCAGTGAACTGGAAGCCCTCCAGCAATCAGCAAGCCGTCGCGGTTGAGCGAGGCATACATGCATAAATCCGGGCGTAGGGCGCTTCCAGACGATCTCCAGATAATTCTACACCCACGAGTATTCGCGAAAGATGTATTTCACCAAGCCGCCACTGCAGTTAGAACAGAACCTAAAACTGAGCCCACAATAATGTAGTCAGAGATTCCCCCAAGAATGCAGAAAATAAGTCCTGAGCTGAACAAAGATTTGTTGTACATATATGTTAAAATATTCTCTTTGAATCTTTTTCCTTTTATTCTTTTACCTATTTAATCTAATTGCCCTAACTTCATTGAATTTTTTGTTGTCCAACAGCATTACAAAAATATATAACTCTCAACACAATAGTCCCCTAATAAACAAATACATAGTTAATATTTTTTTAATTGCATGACTGCTGCTAAATATGTAACAAGTAGAGCTTTTCTGCCTTCATACCCTCTGATGACAGAGGAAGTGCTCACTGCTGCCACACAGTGGCCGTGCGCTGCCCAAGCATCAGCTGGCTGCCTGCTTGCCCTAGCAGAATCATGAGGGAACAGGCCTGAGTGAGTCCCACAAGATACCTTGTGGCTAGAATTAAGACATTCAAAGGTAGGGAGAAATTAAAGGTCACAATTTCATTATTGGGGAGAACAGCACTGGTACCAGCATCCCGCTGGATTGCCATGACCCACAACAGCCACTATCATGTGGGATTGCCCCACATTCACTCAGGATCGTCATCTTGTTTTGGCTCCAGGCAATGCTATCAGAACTGGCAATAGAAGATGCTGCAATGCTTTATTAATTCTGCTTAATATGGTAACACTTATAGATCTCATCTATAATGCATAACAGATACTTTCACAATGCATTATAATGGTCAGTATAACAGTTAAGGATGCTTCGTACTGAATTATGAAGGTATTTATAGTGCATTACAGATGAGACCTTCATAATGCATTATAACAGTCAGTATAAGCATTAAGGATGCTTCGTACTGAATTATGAAGGTATCTATAGTGCATTATAGATGAGAGCTTCACAGAGCATTCATACTGCATAATAAACATGGTTGTGCGCTATGCCTTTTTATAAATATTTATAGCCATGTTTCTACTTTATGAATGTATTATGAAGGTATCTATAATGCATTATACCAGACTGCTTCAAGTAAAGCGTTACCATAAATATTGAAAAATATTAGCAGCCATATTACTGTACTAGACAGTGTAACACAACTCATCGTTTTTTATTCCAGGAATCATTCAATGGTGCTAAACTGTGGCGACAAGGGATTAATCACCACGCCAGTTGAAACATCCGTAAGATACCGATTGGAAACAAATGTGACCACATGACAGACAGGGTTGTACACTACACAACAGCCAAGGTACTGAAATTTAGGTTTACTTGTGTTGCATTCATGTGGTTCATAGCAAATATACGCCAAATAGTGCCCTAGATATTTGTGCAACGTTGCAGTTTAAAAATGTGCATCAGCCTAACACAGTCTTCCAGGATGTTATAACAGTTGTGCTTTCAGGAATTTGCTGACTCGCAGGGAATCCCCATCCTGGAAAGCAGTGGCAGGGACACAACCACCGTAGAGCTGGGCGTCATAACTCTGGTCAGTGCCATTATCAATAGACATGAAGCCCATGTGGTGAGGTTAACCCCAGCCAGATTCCACCTGCAGTCAGTGTCACTCCAACAATATGCATTTCCTGTTTCATTCTACAAAGATTGCAACCGTTTGATACAGTACATAACTCTGGCATTGTTAAATCTTAAATAATGCCCAATGAAATTCATGTTTCAATCGCTGACAAATTATACATAGAACTTTTTTCCGGCTCTTACTGTTGTTCTCATTCCTATCTTAGCTGCATTTGACTTCGTACAACACTTTGCTCGACACTTCTTGTTGTAAATGTGCTGTATAAATAAATCATGATTCGAAGTAATACATTCAAATATATAAAAATAAAGATAAGATTCATCGAGGAGCTAATTTCTACGTTCATTGAAATCTGCCAGCTTGAAGCAACTTTCAACTGAGGATCATGGGGGGGGGTGTAAAACAGGATGCCAGTCTATCAGAGGGCAGTCACACAGCCACCACCACACACACAGATCGTGGGGGGATTACAGCCGCCAAAACTGGAGGAGCGAAAATGAGGCAACGGCACCACTTCCCAAAGCAGACAAGAAATACGTCAGCCAGCCGGCCCGGAACTTACGCAACTCAAGTAAACCCATGTACAGAATTCTTAAGAAAAGTGCAACAGAGCCAGAGATCCATATCACATTATAGCCGTTACGCTGGAATGTTTCCACTTGAATCGATGCATTATACAGGAAAACATATCAACCCCCTGAAGAATTAAAAATAGCTTGCAACAGCGACGGCTTATGATGTAAATCAATTTCTCCATGTTTTTAAATATTGGAATCACCAGCTGTGAAAAGACTATCTGAAAAGATACAAGCGGGTCACAGCACCTGCAACAGGGGGCTAAAACCCAAATTTATACGGAGGGGAAAAATAAACACACCAGCGAAGCATTTCTTATGTCAGATTTATTCTCAGGAGGGAATTTCATGCAAAGTGAATTTGGTCCTTTGATTTCTCGCCCGTTCCTCTACACAGACGCCTTCTCCCTGTGCTCGGGGAAGGAAATGTCTCTCCCCAGAATGCAAATCGACATCGCTTTCGGTGCATTAGGGCCATCGCCGCTAAAGACCATCCATTAAAACAATGCAGTATTTCCATCTAGTGGAAATCAAACAAAAACAAAAACCACTGTTGGTAAATGTTTTTCCACAAATGAGATCGAAGGCTGTATGACCCAATTTACATGCTATTAAAATAAAGCCTTACAGATGTTGTATAAATGAGAAGAAATACAAAGACCAAGTCACAAAACATACAGGTCACATTTTTGCAACCTCATCCAGTTCCCCACACCCGACTCCAGGGGGCAGCAGCGAGCTGAACCTGATCAGCGGCAGACCCCCGGAGGGACAGCTGTCTTTGGCGCTTTCCCAGCCATCTCTCGGCCGGCGTACAGGCGGGGGCGGTGGCAAATGGTTAGCGTCTTCGCCGCCGCCGTATCGTCCGCATGGCATCAGAAACCCGCCCCGGTGATGGCGCCGGTAGAGCGCCACGGCAATGCAGAGCAGAATCAGCAAGAAGAGGCTGAGCAAGAAACACATGGCGTACAGCGCTCCCAGCACCTCGGTCGGCGCCGCCCTGCTGGAGGCTGGAGAAGAAGCACAGTTCTGGGACCGGCTCTGAGAAGCCCAACCCGCACACATCCAGAGTACACTCGTGGTACCTGTGGGATCCAGACAGATCATCCCGCCAAAATCAAGGGGAGACATATCCTCGAACCCCGGCTGACAGCGGCAAGCATAGGAGCCGAAGAGGTTGATGCAGTCGGCATGGACGTCACACGACAAGAGCTGCGTCCTGCATTCATCCACATCTAACACAGAAGGCTAGCAAGATATCAGAACGCAGGGCTAAAACATGCACCACACTATACAGTACATCACAGGGTCCCATCCCAACACATTCAGTCCCATTATAGGGGGCAATATTATCGGGTACACCACACTGCTTCCCCACGACAGATCAGCAAAACCCACACCTTCTGTGGTGATGGAGGCGATGGTCCCATTGAAGCGCCTGTTGGCACCGGGCCGGACCTCCTTCCTCAGCAGCCGCCGGAGAGCTTGGCTCAGCGAATCATAGACGCGAGTGCTGTCAAAGCCTCCCGTAAACTGGACCCACATGATGAAGAGCATACCAGCATGGAGCCTACACATGTGACAGCTTGTTAACTCCCCCTCATCCACTAGGGGGAGCACTGCATAGGTGCCTGGCCCAACTTAACCCTCACCCATAATCACTACTGGTAAAACTTCGGCTTGGGATGGAACATACCTCTTTGTTCTCTCAGAGGATATGGCTTTCAGCTGAAGATCAAAACCCAGCTCTCCCTGAACCTGAACCCCCCCCCCCCCCCCCAAACACACAAAATTCACATTATGCAAGGCATCCCAGTGTAGACCTAAAAAACAAAGTGATTATGACAGTCACTTACGATGTTTTCCACTGATTTCCGGAGGGACAGCAGCATATGGTCCAAGCTCCCAGCTTTACGTGGACTCGTATAAACCTCTACAGCCACTTCGAATAAAGAGTCTGACAGGAGCAAGACAGTTCATACAGCTGCAGATTGTTTAAACATCACATAGTGCTCCTCAAGAATGTAGATTAAAACCATGAAATGGTGCTCGACATCAAACAAATCAAATAACCATCAGATTGTTTGTTCTCTCACCTCCAGGTAAGTGCGGCAGTTGAGTTGAATTTGCAGAACGTTCCAGAGAGGGGGCTAGCTCTGTATGGGAAGCAGAGGAAAGACCGTAAGTGAGTCTTGCATAGGCACCCATCCGGTCAGTGCTGGAGTGCCCACAGAGATGGCCAAGCACCGGCAGGAAGGATCGATTGGCTATGCAGTAAGAGCTTTAATGTGATTGGCCAGCTTCCTTGGGTGCCAGGGCATGGATGTCAATCCACAGTCTTCATGAGGGTGCATTAATTGTATCTTTGCGGAACTGTATGTACAAGTGTGAAATATTACAAAACTGGGGGAATTCAAAAGAATTAATGTTCCATTTGTACAGTTATGTACCGTTTTAGTGTTTAATGTTGACCAAGTATCTGATTTCCAGACTACTTTTTGCTGTTCATTTCTAGTTCCTAAATTTGAATGTTAAAATTTATAGGCTGCAGTGTGTGTGCGTGTTGTGTGTGTGTGTGTGGGGGGGGGGGGTAGGTCAATTACGCAGGGCACCCGCTGACAGACAAAAAGGAAGGGAAAAAAAAAAAGTGTCCATGTAGTCTTGAGTCACAAATGACTCAGACAGAAATGCATTTCTGAAAACATTATACCCGTTTCCTGCACACCTTTGGATCTACTGTCCAGAACGACATTGAAAAGCTTCTCACCAGGGGTCATGCGGCCTGATTCATCCCACTCTCCTCTCATTTGGCTGCCCCTGGCATTAAAGGGAGAGTCAGTGCTATGGAGCACTGGAAGCTGTCTGGCTGTGTGCTCATCCCAGCTGCCCTTCATTGTCCTTCCAGTCAACGTTTCCATTTCAGGACTTTCAAAGTTATGGGCTGTGCTGCGCCATACTTCTGGAGGGGTGGATTGGAAAGGGCGCCCTCTGCTGGCAGGGCTGTTTTCTGACAGCAGCACCCCATGTTTAGCAGTCACTATGACAGGCACAGCACGCCTGTGGCTGAGGTCTTTCGGGGTACTCGCAGAGACCGTACTGCCATCTGTGGTGGACCTGAGGTGACTCCACATGCCTTCGGAATTCCACACGGAACCTAACGGATGTTCAACAATTTCATCTTCAGTTTCACGCTGTGAGACTGTTGCAGGTGGATTTGATGTCGGTAATCCTGGAAGGCCGAATCCCAGTGAAACCGTGGAAGAAAAAGCAATCATGCTTGGTTCCGTCACCCTTAAATCATCTCCACCCTTCATTAAAGAGGGCTTGGTCTTTTCATTCCATTCCAAACCTTCTCTTTCATTGTGTGTTGGTTCTTTGATATGTTCTGGCCAAAGAGCACGATACAGAGCATGGAACCCTCTGAGAGGTGGTCTGGGGTTCCCTCCGATGAGCAGAACAACATGCAGGGTGCTGGACTGGGACTTGTACACAGTCTTCCCCCAGCACCTATGCAGAATCCGTTGTCTTCCAGAGCTTGGGGACTCATCCAGATGAATTTGGTCATTCTTATGGTGACAAGCATCAGCAGGGGTCAAGTCCTCCAGGTGCAGATGAACCTGCATCCCAGGTTTCACTTGTATGGTCCAGTTACACCACAGCGGGGGGCTGGAGCACATGTAATCTGGGGAGAAGAACTCACCACTGTCCCCATGCAGCACTTGGTGGCAACTCCGCAGAGCGAAAAAGGCGTTACCTTCTTTACCAAAGGTATGCCCTAAAAATATAAAATCAAAGATTGGAAAATTTAAATCAATGGTTTGAAAGGAAAGCTGTTAGGATGATTTAGGGATAGGGTTGCAAAATTCTGGGAAATGATCCCATTAATTCCCATATATTCCCATTAATTCCCCTGGAAAGTTTCCAACTTGGAATATTTCCAAAATCCCCTAGCTTAACTGAAAAGTTTCCTCGGAATTTTCCCACCCCTTTGCAACCCTGCTTAGGGCAGAAATATACCACACATACAGACAAGAAAAAAAAATCTAGGCTACTAAAAATGAAAGAATTCAACATTACTAAACATCAAAATCCAGTACATTTTAGTCTTTTTGACATGGAGTTTTAACAATGTTACAGAAAGTCAGTGGTGCTAAAATCAAGGTTTGGACAAGGTTACACAATGATGGTAATTTAAATTTGTCTGCAATCACAGATGAACAATGCCAAAGTTTAAGGGGAAAAAATAAATAAAAATCAGATAAAACAGGACAGAATATTGGCAAATAGCCTAGTGTACTCCACTTATGGCGCAGATATTTAGTCTGTAGCCACAGTCAATTAACTCCCAAATGAACGAACCGGAGCTCGATAAAGAGGAAGCCTCAGACTAAACCAAGTTTACATTTTTTTTTAAACCATGAAGAAAACAAAATGGTTCGTCTTTTTTTCCGGTGAGAAATGGAAAAACTACAACTCCCGTCAACCACCAGTTCTCGGGTCCTTTGACCTTTGCAGTCGGTGCGCTGGATGAATCAGTCATATGCGTCATAGTAAATCATCATTACTGCATGCAGCAAACAATAAATGAAAACTTTTTTTCTGCGTCACCTACAGTCAGGAACACACAGTGGTGCGCTGCAGTTACAATAAAATGTCATTAAAATCAAATACATTGCCTGTGCTTGCAATTGTTCCTATAGGCCTAACAGCATTTCTGGGCTATATAATTCAACTCAATGAAACGGACGTGTGATCCTTTACACAGTACATTGATTTAATGTGTATGTTCTAGCTTCGGTAGGACGAAACAGCATTTTGCGCAACATACGTAAATTGCGTACATTGAAAACATCGCATATTACGCGGCCGGTGGACACATTTTCTGCCTGAACAACTTTAACAATTAAATCTCACCTGCGAATTTGTACGCCGCATCTTCATCACCCTAGAATGGGCAAAGCACAAGGGCAGTGTGGGACTTTGAAGACAGAAGCAGTGTTTTCAACAACTAATTCTCTCTTAACCACAGCACATGTGGGATAGATACAAGCTAGAAGAGTCTTTACTAAGGAGAGTTCACTCACCAGTTCCGCACATTTAATTGGTAATATACCGTATATTGCAACAAGTATGTATACATGCAAGAAAACGAAATGCTCGTGTCGAGTTTTAAACTTCATCATTTAGTTTTGCTGTTCTGATTACCGGTTAAGAACTGAAACATTCCCAACTTTCGTCGCTTTCCTTAAACGGAGAGCTTTGCCCAATTTACCGTTTCTCCTAATACTCCAGGTGAAGTCACGTGCCATTAACGCAATTAACCAATCACCGTCAAACACATTTGCCATTCGGCCGTTTCCGTCTTGTTCCTGCAGGTGTCGCTACTAACCGCATGGTAGCGCGGAGAAACTCCGTACTGAATATACAGCAATGCCCCCATGTCCGAGGGCGGTACGTCCCAAGACCGATCCACCATACTAGCAAACCATCCGCGGACTCCATATATCTGATTTTCGTGTGCAAACGCACATACAGTAAAGTTTAATTAATAAATTACTCACAATATCATAATTAAAGTAATAAAGTTTACTCCAAATCGAAATTAACTTTGTTTTTCTGTGCATTTGGCTGATTTATCTACTGCTCTGCCCTATTAATTGAATTGAAATGCTGCCGTTTTACCTTCTTAATCTTACTTATTAATCACCATTATAAGTACTCAGACAATATGCTCTCTTATATGAAGATCCCTTAAGAGAAATTAAGTATTTTAAAACAGGATGGAGGCTATATTTATAATAAAGTGAACTATTCATAGTAGTTCCCTTAAATTTTCAGTCCTCCGGAGTGTTAATACATGAAATCACTTAAGATTTCACTTGGTTTTCGTCTTAAAATTTTGTTGCAGGAAACGCATTGGCAGTACAGAAAAGCTATGAACATAATGCACTCTACTTTCGGCCCAGAGCCACATGTGATTAAACGAAGCCCACAGTACCCTGTGACTGTGACTCTTTATACTCAACTGCTTGGTTGAAACTAAATCTTGGTCTGGATTTTTACTTTCTGAACCTGAACTTTCCATCTCTGCCTATGGACAATTTGGTAATTCCAATTCTTTTCAGCATGTTTTTGGACTGTTAGGGGAAACTGGAGGGTCTAGCAGAAACCCCCCAACCACTGCACCACTGCATTGCCCCCACTCTGATCCACTCAGATCTTCAACCGAATGTTTAGTTTACCGTCTAATAAATCTCAGTTTGCAACACAACACTTTTGTCAGATAGTCAACATGATTCGCGTCACGTGAGGGTGGTCATTACGTTTTGGCTCATCGGTTCGTTGACAAAAGAAACGGGTCGTCTGACGGGTCTGTTTTGGGTTACGCTCATGATCATGATGCAGCAGGTGCAGCACACCAATTAATTCATGGCGCAGAGTTCAAACCCGGCTATGAAGATCGCCACAGCAATCCTGAGCGATTCTGGTACACAGCCAGCCGTGTGAATCGCGTTGAATTCATCAGCCGTGCACATTGGCAGCACGCAGGGCAGCAGGGAAGGGAAGAGCTTCTACCCCAGCAGCAGGCAACGTTCAAGTAGCTGTCAGGAGGGAACAAAAAGACACACACCCCATATTTGTTCTCTCAGAGGTCATGTGAAGTCTTTGAGTCTCACGTACGTAGTGCCTATGAAACTGAAGATAAGATACAGGAATGTTGACGTGTAAGGTGAGTGACATTCTGGGAAGAGACGTGACAGACGTACAGATGCTCTGCCTGCTGGTAACCATATCGTCATTTGGCTCTGGCACAGTTGCAGATTCGTATTAATACAATAATCCTAGTGATAATTAACATATGGCGATCATCCTTTAACAGACACGGACCTGGAAATACCTAATGCTACGCAGCTACGCAGCTACGCACATCCCGGGGTACAATCCAGGCCCTGAGCCCTGGTCCCCATAAGTGGTTGGAAGATATTAAAAGTCACAACACACTTAAGGTTTTTCCATACAGGAGGTAAAAGGACCCATTATGTTGGGGCTGGAGCGTAGTGAGGAACAACTGTGTACATTGGCCTAACACCACTTATGAACAACTGCCGAAAAGCAGGTTTACTAAAATACCATCTCAGCTCATGCAGAAGGCAGAGAGCAAATGTTTGTTTCAGGAAAGAGACGATTTTCCACAGACATTTTATTAATGGTGCATTTTACCTCACATATAAAACCACAGTTTGTGGGGGGTGGCGAATAGAACTGCGTCAACCAATATCTTGAATATGAAATTCCTTGCCAGTACAAATGGGAATTTGTGTCTCAAAACAGTAATTTCCAATGTACTCCCATCTTTACCATATATATA